CCGGCAATGGATCGCAACCCTCAGTGTCGCGCCCGTACTGGACCGGGACCGGCAACGGGATCGCAACCCTCGGTGTTGCGCCCGCACCTTGCTCAGACAGTGAGCGGCCGGTCTGTACGTGGGATCCGAACCCTCGGCGGGAGCGCCGCCGCTCCCAAGCGGCGCACTGTAGCAGTGCGCCACCGGGCCGGCCCCGAAAGATTTTTTTTTTCTTTTGAAAATTAGCAATTTGAATTACTTTTTTCTTACTAATTTTTTTATTCTAGATAATTTTCACAAAAAATACTATTTATATTAATAGGCATTTTAATTTTTCAGCTTTAATTTTTAACATGGTAGCTATTGATAGGTATAACCCATATAAACAAAAACTCCTCGAGAGGTCCCCAGAATGTTTGACCGCAAATTTCCTGAGACTTAAAAGTGAGAACCACTGGGTTAAAAGAAGGGGCTCCTTCCTCTATGTTGTAGGAAAAGAAAAGCAAACACTTTCCCTTTCCCTACTCATTGTGATGCCACAATTAGGCACCACCTTGGAACACAGAAAACCACTCAATAGAATGAGAGGGATCAAAGGGACAGCTACTGAAATAGACAATCTATGGATCTACAGATCCAGCCCCAAAGTATGTTTTCTTTTTTGGCTCCCATTCTACATCTACCCCCAAGTCCAAACCAGAGTTATCTTCAGTCAATTTCTGGATCCTGAGAATTTAGGATCTCTCTCTGTGTGACTTCCCTGGAACTCTTCTCCATTCAGAGAGATTCCTGGTGCACTTCACTGATGATTCTTATATTTTCAATGCCACTGCCCAGAGGTCTCTTTACATGAGGCTATTTCTCACAGGTATAGCCTTGGTTTGGAATGTTAAATATATTTCATAGCCAGAGACATTGTTAACAGCTAGTTGGAAGATTGAGGAGGATTCTGAGGTGTTTCCTGGCTTAGCAAAGCAAATGCTGTAATTGAGTGGTGGTCTATCCTGGGTGCTAGAAGGAAGACTATTACCTCACATGCTGAGTATTTGTTGATGCTGTGAAGTCAATAGGAATCGCTATGGTCATACAGGTATAGAGCAAGACAATAAATGTCTAGTTTATATAAAAATTACACAGAAATGTCATTACTATGATGAATAATAACAGGTATCAGCAATATCTCCCTCATAAGCAAACAGTCTGCTTAAAATATAAGCATAGACTTTGTGACTCAAACAAACAAAGGCATAAGAATATAAGAATTGCCTCGAAGGTTTGCAATAACACAGCTTGTATATCTATATATCTGAAGACCCTTTTAACTTTTACATGACTTAGGACAGATGCCAACTACCTTTGATTCTGGCACTGCTGGGAGCTTGGCCAGACCTTTCTTTATCCATTTTTTTTTTTCATCATGATGAAATACACATAGCATAAGGATTGCCATTTTAAGCACTTTTAAACATACAGTTGTATGGAACTGATGACATTCAAAATGCTGTGTGACTTCTACCTCTATTTCCAAAACTCTTTCATCATTCTAAACATAGACTCTGTATCC